TTGTGTTCCAGCTTGCGCATGTCCTCCGTGACGAGTTGCTTCGTGACGAGTGGCACGACGCCGGGGTCCAAAAGTAGGCCGAGCGAGTGCATGAGTCGAAGAACATGCTGAATGATTTGTTTGCTCTCAATCATCTCCATGTATAACGCCCATGTTTTCGCGTTTGGCTGGCAACCATAGCTAATCATCATCCCTAACACGCCGTGAAAGTTGCGAAGATCTTTCAACTTGGCACAGTTTTCGAGCATAATGTTGAAGACGCCGGTATCCATCGAAAAAGGTGCATCTCGCTGGCTCTGAAAAAGGTCCCGGGCGTGATTACGATAGGCATTGCCACGCAGCTCAATAAATCGCAAGGCTTGTTTGAATGCGCGCCTCGACCGCGCATGTCTTGAAGACTCATCTGTAAACGCGCTAAAAAGGAGCTTGAGAGCCGCGTTGTCGGCGGCAGGGCCCGCACCGTACATCTTGTACTTGTCATGCGTAGTGATCCTTGCGTTTGTGATGGCGGTTATATAGGCCAAGAATGAATCAGGCGTCCATTCTTTCGGTTTCGGGATACTTTCGTATTTGTGCTTGTGTGAGTATTCCTTCATATACGCTGGACGCTGCTCTTCCTCGGAACTTTTCCACACAGTCTCGTTTCTAGCTCCAGCTACCTCGTCACGCCGTGTTGTAGAGAAGTTGCTGCCGATGGCTCCTTCTATACTGATCGTGCTGTCGGCTCGAGCGGCGAGTCTAGATATTTCTTGGCTCGCGTGTTCCAAGGCATCCTCGTCGCCTGAGAGGAAAAGATATCCCACTTCACTGAGTGTCCCTTCTTTATCCTTTGGCCATCGCATCTCAATATGACATCTCGTTTGTTCGTGTATGTCCCAAATAGTTTGGTCGACATCGTGAAGGAGCGTATATGCGAGTTCAACCCCGACTGTGATCTTACGCACATTGCGCTGCCAGGGCCCCTTGACAGGCCGGGTCTGTCGTCGAAGAAGGTCCAAAGTATTGCGCCAGTTGCTAAATGACCCCTTTTTGACCTGTCGGACCGTCTCGAGCCAGATTTGCCTGGTTATGCTTTGGTGGAATCGCTGAACACTGGCTCGCGATTCTCGCTGAGGCTGGTAACGTATCGTCGGCGTAACGAGTATAGAGTCATGCTGTACTTGGGTAGAGCCCGTCTTGTTCGGTCGTTTGAACTTGCGTTCGCTGGCATCTTTAAGTAGAAACTCAACAGGTTTACGACGCTCGCTGATGGTATCAAGTGGATGCAACGTCGTAGGTTTGCGTGCTTCCTTCGGCTTTGTGTCCGGACCGTCACCCAGCGTCAAGTTCTCAACTCTCAGTGGCGTCTTGATCTTTTCGTCTTCGACGGCCGGGCCTTCCAAGGTAGGACTCACGGCGGTATCGCAGGTTGGGTTGGTGCCATGGCTCGCTTCTTCGTCTTCGATTCGAGATCGCGGTGTGGGAGTCTCAACCGCGCTGGGCCTGACTGCATCGGTAGCTGTGTGCACCCATTGACGAGGAAGTGGTAGTTGAGTTCGAGGCGCCCGAGACCATCTTTGAGGAACCCTGGAAATCGGAGAGATCCCAGAAGAGCCGATACGGTGAGATCGGACTCTCAATGATAGCGTGATTCCCAGGGACATTTGCTATGAATGGCCCATGTTGTGTGCTGGGCTTGAAATTTGTTGCATTTGGTGTCATGGAACGAATGCCATCAGTTTCGCTGAAGTCGCGGGCAAGCTATCCGCAGAAGAATTTCCACTTCGCGCCGATTGATCCCGGTCTTTCGGCCCCAGAAATTTGACCCGACCCCTGCCAGCCGACAACAGTGTGAGCGACACTGAGCTTACTATTTTGCACTGTTCATCGACTACTTCACTGCTAGGTATCCGTACCGCAGGCAATGACTAGCAAATTTGGATATATGAAGTCGGGTATACAAGAAAAGAATGATTCCGACACCGTCCCTATTACTTCTTTGGCGAACCAGGTAAGGCACCCGAGTTGGGTTGCGCAGGACCGCTCTGATCAACACCTTCCCACCCCTTATTCCATCCCTCGTCTTCTGCAACAGCATGTTTGGCTTCGCCATTCTCTGCAAGCCCCTTGACATCGCTCCAATACGAAAGCCTTTTGACTTCTTCGTCTGCATGTTTGATTGCCGCTGCAAGGTGTTTCCTTCTCTCTTCTCTTTCTTTTGCCTTGTCTGCATCTTCGTGCTTCTCTTCGTCTGCAGCGACCGCTTCATCATAAATCTGGGTCAAGCGACTCAACAGCAGTCTTCTCGAGGCCTGAAACACAAATATGCCCATAACATCGTGCATCTCCTCCTGTAAGTGCTCGAGGTTGTCTTTGGCATGCGCGAGATAATTCTCAAAGGCCTCAATCTTTTCGCGGTCGATGCGAGAGCCTCGAAGGACGGCCATAAGAGTCCACACGTCTTCAATGTCTTGCTTCTCCTCTGTCACACTGGTCTGTACACTCGCCTTGCTGACGCTTTCTCGCCGGCTACGTGCCACACTAGAGGAACGGCTGTGATTGGCAGGCGTAACGGTGAAGTAGTCGGAGTTCAGCATATGCGGGTCTTCCGATATGTCTTCTGGTTTCTTCTTGATGCGCTTGCGAACCCAGCATCTCCTCCGAACAAAGGAATTCCACCATTTCGGACCATGCCAGGAATATCTCTTGGAGAACATGAACGAGTACTCCCAGCCGAACTCGTCCATGGCCACACCATCTTCGCGATGTATCTTCCACTCAGGCCATGCCCACTCCCAGGACGGATCGGGTACTTGTGCTGTCTTGGTCGTGGTCGGACTCGTCTTGTGAAATTGGTTCGTCCAAGGCGACGGGTCGAGGTTGCCCAAAGCCTTGCCGGAAAATAGGGCAACACGGCAAACAAAGCAGCCTCGCTCGTTCTCCCACAACACATCAATAGCTGTTTCTCGATCCGCCGTGGCTGGCCTCCGTCGTTGACTGCTGCTTCTGCCGGGCATTGTGCCTTCCATTGGCGTGGGTTCTGTTTCAATATGTACTATCAGAACCTGCACCATAACTTGGGCATGGCTATCTCTTACCTTCGACTTCGATAGACGGTGCTGTGGTGGCCGTTGTCGTTTGGGGTTCAAGCGTGGGAGCACTCCGATGCCCAGCGGCCTTCGACAGGTGACTTTGTTCTGGCTCTATTAAGCGTCCAGACGTACTGGCATCCTGATCGGTATCGTGTTCCGTACTGCGGCCCCCATTCGGTTCCGCATCGTGACTCCCAGTAGTGTCCTCATCACGGAGTAACTGCGAACCGTTTGACGCGCGAGGAGGTCTGCTAAGGCTTTCGGTGCTCGGTGAACCGCGGTTATCATGGTTGACCAGGCTGATCTCGTGGTCATAATCACTATCTTTCAAGCCGGTGGCCCGACGAGAGCTTCGAAAGGAAGGCATCGCTCTAACGCTGTATCGCAGCCTCGCTCGCCCGGTGTCTGAGAGCTTCCGTGTTGATGCCCGCCTTGAGGCTCAATGCCGGAGTGAGACCGGAACGGCACCCTTGAGGGTGAAAGGGGGTTCGTCGTTGGTGGGGGGGAGAATTGGAATCCGGGCCGGAGGTGCTTTAGCTTCCTTCTCGGGGGTGATTGGCGGCTCTCGCCCTGGGATGGTGGAATTCAGAAGCGTAGTCTGAGTGGGCTACCTGAACATTGTGCCGAATCTACTCAGACAAATGATGTTTCCAAGCGCGCCCCGTCGACGGGTGGGAATAGAAAAGAGGCCGTAGAAGGAGAAGGCCGATGTGAGGCTACAAGGTCGATGGTCCGACGAGCGAGGAATTCAGGGAAGTCAATTGGTACCTCTTCTTCGGACCTAGCGTGGGCTAGACCACCATCGGCTGGCAGTGGCCAAATGGAGGACGCTGAACAAGGCTAGCACGATGCAGCAATAACAATAACGAAAGGAAAGCAGGAGGCGTTGGCTGGTCGTGGAGGCCTAGACCCAAAAGCTGAACACGGGTTGGCTCATGCACTTCACGGGCCAGTCAGTCAGTCCAGGAGCCTGCGAGGTGTCGCGAACTCAGCTCCGGCGATGATGTAATGTCCCAGCTTTTTCCAGCGAGCGTCGAGCCCCCCCTAGCCACCACCTCAGCTTTGCGTGCCAGAGAGTCAGCTCAAACAGGTGTTTTCATGCTATCTAACGTGCAAAACCTGGCTCTGAAGCACATGGAGCACTGTGAAGCCACAGGCAATGGTTTGACGGGCACGATCGTCGGCTGAGAGGTCCATCTGCGCTCAGTGGAAGTTGTAAGGAGACCTGGATGAATAGCGTAAAACATTACTCCCTACGCATAGTGTACATCGAAAGTGACAGCTGATTTTCGGAGCTTTGACAAGCTGAGGTGACGCTGGAGATCCAGTGGATGCTGCACTCTTACCAGGATCAGGTCTGAAAAGGTACGTCACAAATACTTCATTCCTCCATCCGCTTCCGCGTGATCACAAGGTATCGTGTCCGTCCCCTCTGGAGGTGATGGCCTGTGCATGCTGAGTTTGTGGTCCCGGTCCCAGGTGGAGCTCTTCGGCCAGGAGCGGCTGGGGGGGAAGCTACTTCCCATTCCCCGCATTCATGCTGCTCTACGTCATGTATCCCTCACACCTTCACGTCAACCGGAGCTTTCGTAGCTCCAAATGTTCCTCGCCTGTTTGCCCCAGGTCGACGGCATGTCGGTAGTGCAGCTCACTGGTGTGATTTGGTTCCAGGAGGCGTGTGGGAAGGAGTGTAACCGCGCAAGAAATGAGACAAGAGCTGCGGCGCCAGTGATTCGATAGCAAGGTACTAATAGATCATGCCATCCTGCTCTTTCTCGTGACGAAGACTGCTTTCTTTCTCCTCTCTCTAATTCAATCAATTAAATCACATAATCACGACGATAGCTTCAAGCTTCTCCCGATCGTAGCTCAGAAGTCACACGTCAATCAGCTCTACTACACCCTACACTACACACAAATCCAATCAACATGTCCAAGAAGGCTCCCCTTTTCCTCGGTCTCACTGCCGCTGGCGGTGTCGGCTACTACCTCTACAGCGCTGGCGGAAACCCTACCGCCGCGGAGAAGAAGTTCGAGAGTATGTTTACCCGTCGCATCGCTGCCTTCTCATCATCGCAAAGGCTGACCCACGTTATTTAGGTGACGTTCACAAGGCATCCGCCGAGGTCAAGTCTCACCTTCCCGGACGCACGCCCGACGCCCAGAACAAGGGCGCGCAATTTGGTGCTAAGCTTGACGAGGCCGTAAGTTCATCTTTGCCCACCTCTGCCCGGCCTGCCTCCAGCACATCTTCAATGATCAATCGTCGCTGACAATCTCGCCAGGTCGCTGAGGCCGACAAGAAGTTCTCTGCCACTAAGAGCAACGTCGAGGCGTACGCCAAGGACGCAAAGGCCGAAGCCTTGAAGAAGGTCGACGCCTTTGACAAGACCGTCGAGACCGAAGCCGCCAAGGCCAAGAGCGGCATCTCCAGCTGGTTCGGCGGCAAATAAGCCCTACGACTACTCTGGCGATCATTTTCTTGTGTTTTCTACGTAATGGATCAATCATGACAACGGGCATCGGGTTTGCTTTCTCAGCTCTGGGTTAGGAGTCGCAATACGAATCAATTATAATCCTTTGACTCATGTTCAATCACTTGAAAGTCTACAGGGCTTCCTCGTGGTATTCTTTGCTGCCTGCTTGGTAATTTTGAAAGTGACCTTTTCTCCTCTATCCTTCCCGACCGACCCTTGATATTTGATACACAGGCTATTACATAATTCATTTCTCCAACACTTCAGCAACCAATTTCAGGATTTCCTCGGTTCCCTTCCTTGCATTGGCGGGCTGTTTGGCAATCGCTTGCCAGTGTTCGCCATGGCGTGGCTCGTTCAAGACACACTTGTTGATGACATCCGCTCGTTTCTCCTGGGATCGAGTTAGCTTACAAACGTCAAATCGATAGTCACCAAGACAGCTACTTACGTCTGTTCCGTGCTGGAGCAAGAACTTGTAATACCAAGCCCAAGTGTCGCCATTGTCGCTGTCCAGCACCAGCGCCTTCTCGAACCAATTTTGTGCCTTTTCGAGCTTGCGTTCGCCCCAAAAGATTCGGGCCACAGCTACAAACAGGATAGGGTCGTTGTCCACCTTCTTAATGGCCTCTAGTGACCGCGGCTTGCGCTGAGTCCGTGGTTCCAAGTGCCAGATCTGTTCACTCCACAAGAGTCCACTCTTGGGCACCTCTTGGAGTGCCTTGGCCATGAGGGACTTGGCCTGGTTGAGATTGCCCGCGCGTCTTTCGATGCGGACAGATTCGCACCAAAGCTCGGCCGATTTGGGTATCGCAAGTCGGGCTCGGTCGAGAACACTGCGAGCCTTGACGACGAGCCCGGCCTTCTCCTCCAGTCGAGAGTAGAGCAGCCACAATGGAATAGACTTTGACACCGCCTTGACACCTGTGCTGTAGGCCTCGCGTGCCTGGCCGACCTTTCCAAGGTCCTCGTAGATTTGTCCCTTGAGCATCCACAACTTCGCCGTTGCAGGGAAGAATTGCAGCGCCCGTTGGACAAGATCCAGTGCCGCATCGCTGTTGCCCAGCACTCTCTCGAAAACCACACTCTTCATCCACACGCGATCCGTGGGGGCCTGGTCGCGGGCTTCCTCCAGTAGCTTACGAGCGCGCTCGGTCTCTCCGTTCTCGGCTTCGAGCTTGACAGCAGCAAGCCAAATGTCTTCGTTATCCGGGTTAGACTTGAAAGCCCTGGCGAGTACCAATCTGGCATTGTCGACCTCGCCGGCTTGCCACTTCTCTTTGGCCAACATCATCCACAGGACCTCACTCTTGGGGCATGCCTCGACAGCCTTCTCCAGGACCTGGGCGAGCGATTCCTTTGTTCCGTGATTTCTTTCCAGGTCGGCGGCAGCCATCCATAATGTTCTGCTGTTGACGAAAACACGCAGCGCATATGAGTAGATGGCGCGTGCTGTCTCGTACATGCCGCGATTGATGCTGCCTCGGGCGTCCTCCGTCCAGGTGTCCTTGCGGTCGTCGTCTTCGTCGAGACCATAGCCAAGTGTTTCTCTGATAATATTTCCGCACGTAATGACAGCGCCATCCTCCTCGCACTTTTCTGCCTCGGCAATCCACTCCTCGCGTTTGGGCATGGCGGACTCCTTGACCAGAACTGCAATGGCACGCTTCATGACGTTGACCTTCGTACCCTGGCCAAGCTGTTCCTGCAGTCGAGCAGCCGCGATCCAAATTTCGTAAGACGTAGGCACTGCTTTTCGTGCCTTATTGAGCACCTTTTGAGCGTTTTCAGGGCTCTCCAGTCTTGCCAAAGCCAACCACAGATCAACGGATAGGGGTATAAGCTCTGTTGCCTTGGCGAGCAGCAACCGGGCATCTTCCGGATCTTCTTCGAGGTTGACCGCTTCCTTCCATAGTGCCTCTGATTCCGGAATATGATCCAGAGCGAGTCTTATGACCTTCTTCTTCGCCCTAGGCTCATTCTCCAGTCTCATCGCCTCGACCCAGAGACGCACAGATCGATCATTCTTCTTGATTGCCTCGGCGGCAATAATCTTCGCATTCTTTCCATCATTCAGTCGAATATTCTCCAGCCAGACATCCTCGCTCTTGGGGCAATGTGTGCATCCGCGTGCTATCACATTCCGTGCAGCGACCGTCTTGCCTGCCAGTTCCTCCAAGCGAGCCGCAGCAATCCAACCCGGCGCATTATTCGGGTTCGTTTTGATCACCGATGTTAACAGCTCGCGTACACGGTTGATGTCGCCGACTTGCGCTTGCGATTCGTTGAGGACGCTTTTGTTCAGACTTGTGATGTAGCCCTTGGGATCGATACTCGATGCGCTACCGGCGACTGATGATTCGGTTCCGTCCTGTGACGCTTGCTCGAGCCTAGACTTGAGGACCTTGTCTCTGGCAGCACCAATCTTGGCAAAATTCGTCATCGTGCCGTCCGCTTGTTCGGAGCTTGATGCTGCTCCGTCATCCGCAACCGTGGTGCCCAGCTCTGATGAGTCCCTCGCAGCAGCCAGAACGCTGTCTGGAACTGCGTAGAAGCGTTGTCGCAAGGTCTGCTTGCTTCTCCTGTTTTTTCCTGTCAGATCTCCAACTTCAGGAAGGTTCGCCCATTCGTCGTCGGTAACCGTCGAAAGCGCTCTCTTAAGATCCGCAAATTGTTGTGCAATCTTGGGGTTCTTCCGTTCATATTCGTCTTGCTCGGCCTTTTCGCGCGCTTCTCGTTGCTTCTGCCTTCTCCTCGCCATCTTCTCGTCAACTTCTTGCCATATCCTGTCGGCTTCCTCGTCATCTTTGTCGTATACGCCACCTGCAAAAAGGCCGACTTCGTTATCGGGATCCTTGAACCGGTCATCGTCGTCGTCCTTCTCCTCCGCCTTCTTGCCGTCGGTGCCTAAGCCGAGTTGTGCTGCGCGCTTGGCGACCGCTTCCTTGATTTGGTCCTCAGTCGGTCCTTCGCGTGCAGGACCCAGATCTGATCGCGTAGTGAAGCCAGTAGCACCTCTACCAAGACCAGCGACGTAGTTTTCGGGAGCCGGTTGGCTCAGGAAGTCGCGCCTGCCCGACATATTGGCGATTGAACAGGTGGCTCTTCGGTGCGGCAGCAAGATCAAGAGGGCGCGCCTGATGGGGTATTTGTAGGCAATCAGGGAGGTTTGGCCTCACTCTATGCTTGGAACCGGTCGCGCAAGGCTGAAGTGGTACTAAAGTTTTTGAGCTGCACAATCCCTGTCGCGCCAGGTCGTAGTGGGGCGAGGGTCCACTAAAATTTCCAAAAGGCTGCCCCTCCATCTTCACCGCAGACTTCGACATCGCGAAGATTTCTGGGTCTCAAACTTTGCGCTACCGGATACTGTACGCCAGAGGTCGACTGCTTCCCACAAACCTGGTTTCTCTAGTATAGCGCGACAGTTCGACAGTTCACATACGCAACATGGGTAAAGCGAAAGCTGGTAAGCGGAATGCCGCCGCCGCCTCCTCGGGAAGCCCGTACTCTCGACCTTCTCAGAAGACGAACAATGTCTTCAAGTTCAACGTGCGTCGCATTCTATAGTACGTCTTGGAACTTTGACTAACTACCGTCATAGACGAATGTTGGTCAACATATCTTGAAGAACCCCGGTGTGGCGGATGCGATCGTTCACGTACGCCCAGACTCCCCCCGTCCATAACGAACCAAACACTAAGTGCGTCTACACAGAAAGCCGAACTTAAGCCCACGGATACTGTACTCGAAATCGGTCCGGGAACTGGTAACTTAACAGTGAGAATTCTCGAGAAGGCGAAGAAGCTCATTGCGATCGAGTTCGACCCTCGAATGGCGGCCGAAGTGACAAAGGTTGGACAAAACGCCCTCAGGATGATACTCGGAGGCTGACGGGACCCAAACCAGCGTGTGCAAGGGACTCCGGAGCAGCGCAAGCTCGATGTCATGCTCGGAGATGCGATCAAAGTCGAATGGGTTCCTTTCGACGTTCTCATTTCAAACACACCCTACCAGGCACGTTCTTTTGTGCTTTCGATGCAAGCCCGGCGTAGCTGACCTGTCGTTAGATCTCTTCGCCCCTGGTGTTCAAGATGCTTGCGATGCCAAAGCCGCCGCGGCAAGCGATTCTCATGTTCCAGCTCGAGTTCGGACAAAGACTTGTGGCCAAGCCCGGCGACAAGCTCTATGGTAGACTGAGCGTGAACGCCAACTTTTGGGCAACATGCTCCAACGTGGTGAGTAAAGATGCTCGGGAATGCATCTTTGCCGACGGTCTTCTGACACTCTGCAATAGATGAAGGTGTCCAAGGCCAACTTCAGGCCGCCGCCACAGGTCGACTCCTGCGTTGTGCGCATCGTGCCCAAGCAGGGAGCCGAGCGTCCCACCATCGCCTTCGAGGAATTCGACGGCCTCCTCCGCGTTGTAAGTAGTATTATTGTCACTTCATATATCTCGCAGCTAACAAACCATTCAGTGCTTCAACCGTAAGAACAGGACCATGCGAGCCAGCTGGCTCGGCACGAAGGAAGTGCTCCAGATGCTGGAGAAGGTGAGTTTTGAGGTTGTGTGCCTCCGAAGGACAGAGGTACTGATCTGCTACTAGAACTACCGTACATGGGCTGCCATGAACAACGTGCCCCTGGACGACTCTCTTGTTGAGGATGACGAGGACGACGCCATGGAAATGGACGATGACGCGGACGCCGGCGGCAACGATGACAACGATGCCGAGCCCATGGACGACGACACACCCGAGTTCTTCAAGGAGCTTAACGCCACAGCTGCCAAGGCGCCCGAGAAGACGAAGAGCAAGCGCAAGAAGACCAAGGTTGCGGCGCTCGTGCGGAGCAAGATTGAACGCGCGCTCGAGAGCACCGAGCTCATGGAGAAGAGAGCGCGGTTGTGCGACGAGACGGATTTTTTGAAGCTGCTCTCTGCTCTCAACTCGGAGGGCATCCACTTTGCCTAGATGTCCGTCCTTCACACGGAATGGCCGGTCTCTGTTGATGGAATTTCTTTTATAGAACGGGCAATCATGGCCTGGCGTTTGGGCGTACAAAATGAGAGGAGATATCAGGTTGCGGAAACGATATGACGGTAGAAGGCTGTGGATCACATTCAATGAAGATTTGCTGTGCTTTTCCCATGAAGCTCGAGTGGTTGTCTAACCTGTGAACCATTCTGGTGCCCTTCCAAAAGGTGTTTAGACCTCCGTCCTTTCTCTCGTTGTTGGAGACGTCGTAGCATCAATAATAGACAGGCAAGATATACGCTGGATCTCAAGTAGCTTCGGTTTGAACCGTTATTCACTCAGCACCTTCATACCACAGCCGTGTTGGGCAAAGATACATCGAACGCATTTTCACCCCATAGCATGACTTACACAACAGCCCCGACACCGAGGCACATCGTCTCATCTCGAAGCACCCCATCCGGATTCTAGAAGACCTCTAAAGCCATACTAGTCTCTTTCCATCTCCTCCCTTACCGAGGTAACCCATCACGGCATACAACCCCAATCAATATCACCGACGCAGTCTCATCCGTGGGAAGAAGGCAGGGGGGTTGCTTCCGGGCCAACCATCGCCGAAAGGTCTAGGAGTCATCATTTGTCAGGCAGTCATCATGAAGCCGTCTTGTCCACTCGGGAGTCAGTCACACTGCAACTGATGCTCTCATTACCAGAATGAAAAGATTGGGCCCTTTGTCAGCGATGAGCTTCTCAAATCAGCACTCTACGTCAGGCATAGATTGTGGCTGTTCGCCCGAAATGGGAACTTCATTTTCTGCGGATGCGTGCTCGACTTCACAGCACCAGTTCTCTCCATTGAACCGAATTGGACCGATGGAAGAGGAAGTATCGCCCCTATTTCGGGAAGGAAGGGAAGCGTAACGGGACAAAACGGTACTTTAGCCACCTCGCCCGGTTCCGCACCCAAGTATAGAGTATCATGATACACCTTATTTGGAAGGGGGCAGAGAGCAGGTACATCACCACCGTGGGAAACCGGAAGGAAATCAAGAGAGACGAAGTAATTAATAGGAGTGAAAAGGGGAATGGAGGGGCGGGCCAACGTGGCTCTGTGCATGCAGTCAGTTCTTTCAAAGAATATGAACAAATTACAACAGGCCACGCCCACGCTCACCCAATCCGACTGCGCCTTATACCACCACCAAGAAGTGACCGGGCCAAAGACTCCCGCCCAAGGATGCATAGGTAATGTAAGTACTGATTTGTCGGGCGGGTGGTAAGCATTAGACAGAGAGGGAGAGAACAAGGCTGCCTTACCCGCGCGGATTGCGTTCCCGTCAGCGCATCGCGACGAGACGAACAAGGCCCGTCCCATCTGACAGGCGCCAGCCTTTGTCTTTCCCACCATGGCGGGTTTTAATCTACCCTACCAGCGGGATTGGGTGTGGGTTGCGTGTAGGCTGGCTGGGCCTTGAACTTGTTCGTCTGCCTAATAGAACGTTACTTACCTACCTACCTCCTCGAAAACCGAACCTCTTCAAAGAGGTGTGGAACGTCATTGCATATTAAACTGCGACTGTCCCAACCTATAGACTTCCGGGTTCCTGCGCAGATGATCAACGCCCGCCGCCGGCGCGCTGACACGCGGGGGGAAGGGGGCTGTTGGAGGGATTCGGTAGGTGGATTCTGGAAAAGAACCTTTTCTATTCCTTGGAAGAATCAACATCACGCGCCGGACATGAAGGTTTCAAAAGCCGTACGAGACGTTGACGTGGTTTTGTCTCTCTTTTTTTCACGCTTATTGTCTTTGTGTGTGGGGGCCTAAGGAAGGCATCTAGTTCGGCCTGCCAAGTAATAATGCGAGAATGGAAAGCAAGAGACAGAGGGAGGACAGCTTGGACTGGGAAAGCCAGCAGAGCGAGCCGTGTTTCTCATCAGACAACCACAGCCTGGTTTCCCTGATTTGTATTGCCCTCTCTGAGCTACAAGTCTACGACTGCTTAGGTATGTGAGCCCCGCGGCTTGAGAGAGGGCTCACCACTTCGGCACCATCGCACGGGAGGGTGAGACCTGCCAGGCCTACCGATCCTCCCGGACACCCTTTTTAGACGGATGGAATATGTACTACTGCAGCGTATATTCTGACGTACCTATTTTTTGGTACGGAGCATTATTCCCTCTGGGCCTGGCTGAGCCACACCTTTGGCGGTCCTCACTTCCCTCCCGTGCATGGTAAGCAAAGGCTACCTAGAGCTGGAGGCTGGAGGCAGCGTCTTCGATGCAACGTGGAGAAGAACCGAAAGAACGGCCTGTCAGCGCCGGAGCGACCTGCTCAGCGCTTCTGTCGCACAGCATCAGCTGCCAGATCAGCCGTTCGTCGGGTTTCGGTGCTCAGTATGGCCGGTGAGCACCTCGGTCTGGGCGGGGGACGGAGCCTGTCATTCTGTCTCGTGGGGGCCGCCGCGGCCCATCATACGATGGGTCAAGGTCGATGGGCCAAGACCGCAAAGGGATTGGCGTCGATGAAGAGAGCACCAGCAATGGCAGCGTTTGACATGGCCCAGATCCCACACTTGCACAACCATCGCAGCGAAGGCGGCGATGACTATGCGATGTGAGTAATGGGCAGATGCGGGAAACGTCAAATCGACCTGGTAACGTTCACCGCGCATTTCAAGTTGTTTTCTTCTGCCTGTCCCCAGATGGGGGATCCGAGGGGAACAGCCGACGACCAATCGAACGTCGCAGAAGCCCCCAATAGCTCGGTACCATCAGGGCATCGTGGACGGGTGGGTTTATTGTGACGTTCTGTCGGGAGCATGGGGTCGGTGCAACTTTTCCTCGCTTTAGGAAATGTCTCAGGTTATCCAGAGGATCAGAACCCAAGCACTTGAGATGGCGGCCCCCTAAAACCAGAGCCCAAGGTTGGCTCACATGGGAGATGCAGCCAGTCGTGTGCCTGCCACGTCGTCCACTTGGCTTTCTGTGAGAGGCTCAAGGAAGCTGGTGGGAGGAACGTTGGCTTCTTCTTGATCTGCTGACCTGCAGACATTCCGTTGTTGGCAAAGACAGATTTCTTGTCGACAGCCGTATCCGTAGGTAGAGACGAGAACGTGCCAAAAACATTACGGAGTGGAACGGTGTACACTTGGTACCAACCCTTTCCTATTGACGACAGTTTTATCCGTCTTTCTCAACGAGGAAAAATGCTGCCAAATACCACATTCCGAGTCAATGAAGCCATGCCTCGTCTCGTAGGGGTAGTGTGCTCCCGACAAGAACCTTCCGTATTGGGGATTCTGACATAACACCGCCATTTCGACCTCAACGGTCGACCGTTGGAAGCGAGCAAGCAGGCACCCGATCGCGGCGGGCGTTACGGTTTATGGTTTGTAAATCGTGGCAAAGGCGGAAGTGTAAGTTGTGCCTGGTTGACTAAGATAGGGTAGAAGCCTCAAGAGACATGCGTCAACTTCAATAGTGCTTCGGCACCAGGTCCGAAGCCCACGTAAAGGCCCTTGATTTGTTTGCAAAGTACCCCGTATGGAGCAGTGGCATGCGTCCCCGTCCCCCGTCAGGGTACCAAAAGCCACAGCATGACTGTTTGTTGTCTGTCTGTCCTGTGACTCTATTTCAAGTTGTTGTTGACTGCAAGCTAAGCAGGTTGTATGGTAGTGAAATGGCAGCAATCAAACGACTCGTTAGGAATTTGCTGAATATCACTGGGTTCTTCCGCCTAGAACTTGGCTCCCGAAATTTGAAAATGGGCAAATCTTGAAGCAAGAGATGCACCAGACTGCAGGTCCCGGCCATGGTCCCGGTCCTCCAGTTCCTGACTAGAGCATTTGCGAGCCTTAGCCCTGGAAACTGCGTCCACAGCAGCGTACATCAGCCAAGATGGAAGACTCGAGAAGCTCGAGTGAGATTGCTGATAGAGGAGAAAGAGCTTAGTGGCAGTGTACCTTGTGAGCGGTATTCGATGGCGGCCATGAGTTTGTAACTTTGTATCCGTACGAATAGTGTATTTCGCAGAAGCCGGATTCTTCTGGCTGGGAACAGGGGATGGTGACAAGAAGTCTGAAGAAGACCAGGGGCCTTGATTGGAAGGAAACTGTCCCGAGGTCCCACGATGCCCGATTCTAATCAGCGGTGATGGCTCCCGGGGGGTCGGTGACAGGCCGCCGGTGCAACAGAATGGACGATGTTACTCCGTAGTCCGTACTCATGGGAGAGAAGAAAAAGTAGGCCAAAGGCAAAAGCAAGAAGGGTGGATTCCTGGATGGAGATCAGCTGCGCCGTGTGTCCTGGCTTTGCCTTGCCTGGAGCCCGGGGGAAGGCAAGGGGGGCCGACGATGAAAGTTGCATCCAGAAAAATTCCAGATTGCGGATGGGCGAGTTTGGGCGTCGTGGGCCAGAGACTTGGGCTGCATTTGACATCCACTCTTGCCCACAGCCCAGCGGGCAGACTCAAATACGGAGTAGTAAGTACCTACCTTACTACGTAGAGCAAGTGGGTGACAGGATTCTCGAGAAAGTGGTAATATGGAGAAAAGCATCCGGGAAAGAATTGCGGTCTGAGGCATCCCGCGTGGTTTCAGGGGGTTTGCCGGTCGCAGTATCTCCTAACTTCCTAAACTTATTCGGCCCAAGCAATTTGTTGGACGGACAAGGAACTCTACTGACTACTTAGTACCTCTCCGTAGAAGAAGTGAGGCAGAACCCAGCACCAGCTCCCAACCTACTGGATGGGAAGAGACAGGAGACTAAGGGCAAAAGGGTGCTTTCCTTCGTACCTGTGTAGCCGTGCCTCCTTTTGTACCTACCTCCAAGGATCCTGGAAGACGGGACTCCTCCCCCGCCAGAGTGGTCCATGTCTAGCGGCAACGAAGAAACGTACCTAGAACTTCTGAAGTATTCGCCCGGGAAGGTCACTCCGCGTTGTCGGAATGAAGAGCAAGGTAGACAGGTACGTACCGTGGGCCGGTCGCGACTGTTGCAAACTCCGAGGTTGGGCGATGGGCACCTCATGCTGGTCACTGGTGCAGCGGTGTTGACGTTGTGCCTGGCACCGGCTTGGCCTGGCACCTGGAGACTGGAGACCCAAGGTACCTGTCTTCCTCCCCTCTTTTTTCTGCCCCCTCTTCACAGTCGCAGTCTCCAAGAGTCCAGTGTTAGTTGGCAGTCGCAATATTCCTTTCCTTCGCCCGCCGGGCCTTCCGCCTTTCGCCCTGTACGACGCTATGCTGGGACCTGCAGCAGAATCGGATCCATTTCTCGCGTTGGCTGCTGAAGGAATCCGTCCGCTGCGCCGCCCCTCTCCAGTCTCCAGTCTCCAGAGATCCGATTTTTCTGTTCGGCGGAGGGGAGGAGAGGAGGAGGAGAAGCCCAGGATGCCACTCACCGTGACCCGTAAACGCAATCCGTTACCCGGCAGGACTGGATTGGACTGGACAAGACGATACGTCGAGCACATGGCTTGAGCCCTTCTGCCCATGGCACACCGCACGAGAAACTGAAAAAGACAGAATCGGCTGAGACGGGAAAAGCTTCGTTGCTGACTTGTTCTGATGGGTCCCAGACAAAAGCTTCTGATTGCTGCGGACATTCAGGAACGCTTCCGCGGTGCCTCGAGCACCAAGCTCCCTCAGACCTAGACCTGTCCATGTCTCCGTTGGCCCTTACGCTCTACAAGAGGCGCCGAAGATGAGCAGAAACATTTGTATGCCAGGATGGAGCTGGGAGGCGAGAGAAAATTTCGTGCAAAGTATTACAGAGGTAGGAAAGGTAGAGACGGAGACAAAGGCGGGGAATGGAGGGAGACGGAAGCGATATCGAGTGCTACTAAGAGACATCAAGCAGTCAAAGGAGCCTAGGGGCAGCGCATCAGGGTCGCCCTTCCCTTCATGAATCGGTGCCATTTCAATTTTGCTTTTTTGAATTTTTCTCTCCCTCACCTTTTCATTTTGGGTTTCTTGGTTGCCACTTGTCTTGCTGCTCCTTACTCGTTGCCCTGCCATGTCTTTGTTACGTCGCCCACAGAATCGATGATAGGGCAGCCTTTCTGATGGGCCTCTGTCAAAACGGTTGTTTGCTTCATATCCGTGCCGTTCCTTTCAAAGACACCCTGCCTCGTGGTTGGTTAGCCAGCTCCAGGGCATGGTTTGATACCAAAGCTGTGTATGATGGATACGTTGGCTACGTAGGATTGTGTCTAGACAATTCGGCTCGATTGCACGGGAAGCGGCAGTACACAATACTCGTTTACGCTTACTGCGTAGGTAGGTAGGCTCAAGGGAATCTCGATGGCATCTTGGCCATGTCCTCGTACAATGCGAGAGAGTCCAGTAGTAGAGGATAATCATCGGAGGGAACATCAACTCTCTTCAATTTCGGCGGAGTATAGTGACGGCAGCGGCAGCATCTGTGCATGCCTTCTGGAGAATCATACCGCAAGTACCAGCAAAAATGCGCCACAGAGCACCTCAGCCAGAGCAGGGCGAGCTGGGTACTTCGAATCAAGTAGTCGCAGATGTATCCTCGTACCTGCCCTTTTCATGACTGCGACCGGCCCCCGGCAACAACAAGGCGCATGGGTCCTCACGGGTGGCTGGCTACTTGCAACTACGTACCGACCGTATGACGAGCCATGTACCTAGGTACCTTGCCTTCCTTGCTCCCCCTGCAAACAAGGCACTACTTTCCGGCAGGTGCTTTCTCTCCCAACTTTGGGCCGCTGAGGTCTTTCTGAGACTCTCTCGCTGGGCAGGTCGTAGGCGTCACACGCTAAGAGCCCGCTCCTTACCGACCGGTCTATCCCAGCACACACCACCCGACCGACCTTCTGTCTCTCTCCCCCAAAGCCCAGTCCACCCCCCATTCCCCAATCACCCAGTTGCCAGCACCAACAAGTGCCTTCCTCATCAGCACCGACGCCATCCTTCCATTCACCAGTGCCAGCGCACTCAGCAAATTTTGGCTTACCTTAGGTTTGCACTGACTGACCTTACTGACCTCATTCCCGTCTGGTCTCCCACAACCTCCACCACCACCTCCTCCTCCAGCCGTCTTCGTCTTCGTCTTTTACATCAGACACACCACACACTCCTCTTCTCAACTTACACCACCACACTTGGTTTCTTCCCCCCCTCCAATCCCCTCATTTAGAGCTTCTTACTCTTCGTTGTCAACCCGTATTCTTTTCTACCCAGGAAACATTCTGCGAATCACTCTCACTCTTGTGTTCCTGTCAAACAGCTCCACAGCAGCCCAATCGCCAGTAGCTTAGCACCCCGTCACCCACGAAACCTAGACACGACCGCGCATTCGTCTTGCCTCAAATCGGTCCCAAAGCAACACAACAACAACCACTCAGACGATATCTCCAGATTCCCGACAGGGTCCCTACCTTCCACCCAGAAATCCATCCTATACCACGTCGCATTGTCGAACATCATGATAGGCCTGCTTCCGAACTACGATTGCCGGCTCCCGAGTTAACAATACCCACATTCGATTGGTATGAGGACTAGACGAGGCTCCATTCCCTTTGCTGTCTCACTTGAAAATCCTCGGCCATGGAAAAGACATCCAGCACCAGAAACGGGCCCTCTGACGCAAGCCAGTCACGCATAGAACATACAGAGACGTCCATCACTACCCCCTCAAACAACGCCGCCGAGACCCAACCGCACTCTAAACCATCCTCCGCCACAACCTCGTTAACACCATCACCATACAACTCCCGCGACACCTCCCCGTCACGAAAGGCACAGAAGCCCGTTCACGCGCCCAAATCCGCATCTACCCCCGGCCTGAGGTCGCGCAAAGGCAGCCAACAGGACTTGACTGCAGTACGGACACCCAGGTCCAATACCAATATACCAGGACCAGCGACGTCGTCCAGGACGCTCTCCGCAGCGACAACTCCTACTTTACTCCCGAATTCCCAAGAATCCTTCCTTAGATCTATCAATCCTCAGAAGGCACCCCTCAATACTGAGGTAGCTCAAACGAGAGACAGCCCTCGCTGGCCTGTGTCGCCTCGCTTGCGCTCGCCCCCTCCTCAGCTCAATAAGCCTCACATTCCGCCCACTGCACGAAAAGGCGAGCAGGAAGCCCCGAGGGTGAATCTCACGAAAGCCTCTCCGACTCCACAACCGGACCCCCTCCCTTCCATGTCAGAGAGCGAAACCGACGACTCGCAACTACCATCTGGCGTGCGAACCCCAGTAACCGTCAACGGCTCGACTCTGGAAACAGTACAGGAAGTAAGTTTGCCGAATTCGCCAGGGCAAATGGACTCTACGCTGGAGCAGGTCAACGAGAAGTTGGCCCACGAGGCTGCTGTGAGTGCCGAAAGCCTAGCGACACAAGTGGACAACAATCGCACCATTCGCCTTAGCAGGGGAGCCCTCCAGGCTCACGATAACATGGGCGACAACGGGATACCCAGAGTGCGATCGCAGAGCTCCGCTCCTGCCCCGACGGTCACGCGACAGTCTAGTGTGCTGTCCAACAAGCAAGGCAAGAGCAAAGCAACGGGAGAAGGATCTTCCCTCATAGTCGAGACGGAAACGGTGTCGTCTATTCCCCAGGTGGCATTGGCACCTGCTTCTAAATTGGAAGTCGGCAGCGGCACACTCAGGGCGAAGCCAAGTACCGAGACGATTAGGCCCAAGAAAGACAAGAAGAAGACGAGCCGGAAGCAACCCACGGTCAATTCTGGCAACGGTGAGACACCAGATTCAATTTTGTACTCCTCTAGGACCCTTTGGCATCACCAGCACAGTCTGCGATCAGTGTCTGCAGCAACTGATGCTTTGTAGCCGCTCGGAACAATGTTTTTGGGACCGCGAGCAGAGATGGTGCGCTCTCCGCGGCAGTTCCGATATCGCATCTGAATTTTTCTTTGCAGCTTGCCCGTTATACGAAAATTACCATTTATGAGCAGTTTACTGACTAGACTTCAATCAGCATCCTCCAAAGCAGATATTTTTGAGGCTAAAGTGGCCAGCGCCGTTGACGAGGCGAATACGTCAGACTCAGAGGAAACATTCGTATACGATAGTAACCCCCCGGATGTCGACAGGCGTAGATTTCACTCGCGGACACCTAGCGCTACTTCGATGATTAGCCAGGCCGACAGACCTGGCGGTATGGGGATGCGCTCAATTCATGAGGCTCTGCAAGGCAGCGGCGCCGCCGCTGCAGCCGTCGGGCTGAAGAAGAGCATGAAGTTCGTCAACACGTTTAACAGCAATGGAGCAGAGAGCCTTGGCGTCGATGAAGATGGTAAGGGCAGCGGCAGGAGTGTAGGCCCAGGATCGGGCAGAGGTACGAGTAGGCATCACCACCACAATCACTTTGGTCGCTGGGGGCGACAGCCAGGAAACTCACACCCTTCACTTTTCGACAACGAATCCCTCTTTCCAAATGCTGCTCGATCTAAGCTCTCGGGCAACACCTCGAGACAGTCATCCGGCCCTCCTAGTCCTAGGGTTGCGAGCTCCGCTAGAGGTGGACCTCACGCGCTCGGAAAGCGATCGTCGATTCAGATGGCTCGTTATGATGCAGCCGACGATACTACGACCACTGGCGCTGACGACGAGCGCACCCCATTGATTACGTCCACAGTCAGGTCCTCCAGGAGGAGCAGACGTCAACCTGCGAATTTGCGGAACCTCGAATCACAGACGTACAGGCAGCAGCCATCCTATCTGAATCGATTTGCAGCATGTTTGGTTGTCACTATGATGTTGCTCCTCGTCATTACTGGCGCGATTGGCTTTATGTTCGCGACCTCGCAGCCGCTGACAGACATTCAGTTGGTCTCTGTCAAGAACGTCTTGGCTAGTGACCCAGAATTGATGTTCGACCTAACGGTCAAAGCCCACAATCCCAACATCGTGGTCGTCTCTATCGATCAGGCGAATCTGGAGATATTTGCAAAGTCGCCTCACGCGGGCACCGACTTTGACTGGTGGAAGCGGCCACATGAAGGGGAGTTGGGAGACCCAGACATGCATATTCGAGACGATCCTCCCGATGATCCACCAGACGAAGACAATGCTCCGAACATGCGACTCGGAACCATCATGGAGTTTGATAGCCCGCTATCTTTTGAGGGGTCTTTCTTCAATAAGGGTGTATCAGCATCGACAGGCACCATGAGACTTCATCTTCCAGGCAACCACTCTGCTGGAGGTTCTGAGCGATGGGGTCGTATCATCCAGGATGAATTCGACTTGATCGTCAAAGGTGTCGTCCGTTATTCTCTACCGTTGAGCCAGCGGGTTAGAAGCGCACCAATTTCTGGCAGAACAACAGTCAAGCCAAACTCGGCTAATGACCCTTCTCTCCGACCAAACACAACACTCCCTGGAGAAGTACCTGGTCTTGAACCGTAGGGTATCTCCCTTACTGGAGGTCGGCACATTCGATCATTTTCTTTGTCAACTTGTTCTGTATATTGAGCGTGCATGGCATAGCATAGTATTTCGGGGAAAAGCGGCGTTGAGCGAGGCTTTCCAGCAACAAATGCTTCGGAGCAAAGACAGACAAAAGCGAACTGTATATACTTTTCTTATTGAGAGCATCGCTGACCACGATGACTCTTGTATCTCCAGCTAGCGTTCTCACGCAGCTTTTGTTTCTTGCGTTTGACTTTCTTCATCCAGCCAGACCACGACTTTGGTGGACCACATGCCATTCCTCGGCACAGCAAATCACGGGACAGGACAGCGAAACGCATTCACTTAGGCACAGGACCGTTCTTCATATTGGGGCAAGGATTAGGACATTTGGGTTTTGCGTTGCTTTCTTTATCAGTATGGGAATCTTCTTTGCGACGGCCTTTTTCAGCTCTTGGGTTCATTAGAAAGGGAAAAGTAGCAACTACGCTGTTGTAATTGTAACGAAACTTGACGACCAACAGAGGAGATCAGAAGACAAGGAGTCAGGTCCGCCCACAGAGGTGCGCGACAAAAACAAGAAAGTCAGTTTTGACATGGAGGTTGTGCAGTCTAAGCGAGGTTCGTGATGGACAAGGTAGCCCAGAGCTAGGTAGACAGCTAGAGAATGCCGATACTAGCTCTCCTGAGACTGGACATTCATTTGCCATGAAGCATGCCTACCTGCTATGTATTTACTCCGTCTCATGAGGCCCACACATGTTGGCAATCATGACATGGGCAGAGCCTCAGTTGTTTGGCCACCAGTCAGTCAGCCAGCCAGCCTGCAGATCTGAGGAATGTACAGACTACCCCAAGGCCCTCATCCCATCCCGAAACATGTTTGTGTGCATCTCGCATGACCCTGCCAGCTGGCAGCTCATCAAAAGGACGAGGGCTTTCCCACTGACCGCCTTTACATCACCAAGGGACGATCTGTGGGTAAAAAGTAAACAGATCCCCCAAGCAACGTGGGGTGGGGGGGGGGGGGGGTTAGGGGGGGTTGATGCCCGGGCACCCTGGAAGTTGACCTCTCCGATCGGAGGCGGGCCGGGCCCACCGCAATCCTCTTATCTTTGCTTTTTTGTGCACATCTCTTGTTTGCTTTTTGTGTACTGTGGTACGAAGTGCAAAGGATTGCCCTCGGATTGTTCGTACGTGGTGTGCAGAGTGTGGAGTATGGAACAGAGTATGGAGACTGGCTCTCTCAGTACAGAGCACCCGGCGATGAATATGTCAGATCGGTCAAGACAGAACGAACTTTCTACTGGTGGAGATGGAGGGGGCGGTCACGATGGCACGAGAGACTCATAAGACGAAGAGGGTTATTGAGACTCCTCTGCACCAAATCCTGGCATCCACATCTGATCCACTCGAGATTCTGCGAGTGATTCGGAAACGGGCAACTTGGCCGAGCGGTCTAAGGCGCCAGACTCAAGATAACAGGTTTGTCTAAAAACGACCTACATCTTCCCTGATACCAGGGAGTATTCTGGTCTCGAAAGAGGCGTGAGTTCGAATCTCACAGTTGTCATAAATCTTTTGCGCTCTTTTGCCAATAGAGTGAATTTGTCAGACAACTTGGAGTGTTTACAATGTTCGTACAGTTCCATGGGGGTTTTTACTAGACTAGACTTTGTGCTGCAGGGTTTCCGTCCTTCTCACACTCAAGCGGGCTGGCGAGAATCCAGCTTTGCAAGTGCGATAGCTTACTTACGTCTAGCAAACCTCACTCTAGCCAGAGTCGGTAATGAGAGATGCCCATTTTCACTTCACACGAGACGCGTTTGTGATTTTCTGCCGGGCTCCAGAAGAGCACGTTTTGTGTGAGGCAGTCGGATAAGCTTCGGGACATGCCATCTTGCGTATTCGTGAACACCCCCCGAAATAACGCAAACGACTGAGTGTATTATGCCATTCGCTGGCTGCCCTTCTTCCCGAGTCATATAACACTTCGAGAACAGCATTCGAGGCGCTGATTCCTGCTCGCTTTGGACTAGATACTTCTTCACATTTAAACGTAACTCTCCCACCGATAACAAACAACACACAGATACGCCATGCCCGTCATCACCACAAAGGAGTCTGCTTCGGCCGTCGCCGCGGCCCTCGTGGCCGAGGCCAGCGAGACCAAGCCGGCTTTCCTCGTCGTCTACGCGTCGCACCGCAACGGAAAGTCTTGGTGCGGCGACTGTACCGCCGCGGAGCCGTACATTGAGAAGAAGTTTGGCGGCGGCGAAGAGACCGTCCGGGTTGTTTACGCGGGGCTGCCCGATGAGTGAGTTGAACCTGTTCCTCCCCTGTCACTTTCGATCCCCCCCCTCCCCCTGCTTCGTGTATAATATAGTAATTGCATGGACGAAAGCCGCTCTTTATCCATATCGATGTATCATCTGCGGGAAACCATTCCCTCAGAAAGGAGACTGTTGAAAACGACATTTTTTTGCTGATGATCACTTTCATGGCAGATGGAGAACGAAGGAGAACCCGTGGAGACAGGCGCCGTTCAGCGTGACCAACCTGCCTACTCTCATCAAGGTCTCAGGAGAAAAGGTACGTCATTTGCTGTTTTGTTCCGAAACTCCCCAGTCCCCCCCCTCTTTCTCACGGGGTACGCGATTACTATCCTGCACTCTGTATGAAGAAGACTGGATAGCGGCCTTTACTAATCGATGCAATGATAGAAGTGGGAGAAGCTGGTCGAGGCGGACGTCTACGACCAGAAAAAGCTTGACGCCTTTGTCGGCAGCGGCAGCAGTCGGTTGTAAGCGCTTGGAAAGCACTGATAGCCTATGAATAAAGAATCAAGTGAAAGAGAAAGTGAAGTCAAAACACCAGCATACTCTGGAGCAGGGGTTTTCAAGTCCCCCTATCAGTGAATCACAATAGAGCCAGCAAAGTGCGAAGACGAGATCACGGTAGTATGGAAAGTCTAGACCACTCTCGTGCAAGCAATGGTCCCGTTTCTATGGAAATAGACAGTTGAAGACAGCCTGGAGTATTTCTAGGCTCACCCGGATTTCTGCAATTGAGTAAACAGTTGAGCGAAAATAAGCATATTTCTTGTCCAACGAGAGAATGGGGTCGGGCCCCTACTTCGTATCATCCGATTACTGAAGAGGCTGTCTAGTCGGCCTCCAGAGGGAGTTGTGCCTGTGCATGTGCGTAGTCGGACAGTCTGATGGATGCGAAGAGAGACAAGATAGATGGGGTCACGGTTGAGGTGAAATCTGGAGAGGAAGGGAATGGAGAGCAGGAGGTATTCCTTGGAAGAGCCTGGAGAGGTTGAGATTCTATGAGATTTAGATGACTATCCACCTCCGATGTAATTATTCCTGTCATCTTCAACTTCGAGCTTGATGAGAGACGCACCTGACGATGAACCTCTTAGACAGTCAAGCCTCCTCGCGTGCCAGAAATCTTACAGATCATACAACCTGGTCCGGATCTGCAGGCTACCAGTTCACGACATCACAGATATTGCGAGAGACAAGAAACAAAAGTCTAACTAACGTCAAGCCATCTTAGCATTACTCATGTATCTATCCAACATTGCGTCTAGCCCGGCCATAGCCAAAAGGACTCATACATCCGTAAAGCCATATCGTAGTAGCAGACGCTTGTCATCAAGTTTCCAGCACCCATTCAAGGTAATGCTGCCTGTTCATGATCGAAGAAGAAGCAAAACACCGCCAGGGAAGCTCCCCCTCTCCATGTCAATCATCCACATCGATCTCCAGCAGTCCATACAAATGTCTCTGCCTGCCTCCCTTTCCCCGGTGAAAACTGAAGAGTAGATATAGTGTAGTGTTTAGTACCCAAAATATAAAAAGGCATGAACATATAGCCATAAGAAGAGGAAAGAAGCCAAACAATAATATCCACAAAATGGACAGCGCCTCCAGGCCCAGCATTTCGTCGTACACTACCCGCAAATGCCAACCGAGACCCCGTGTGCATAGAGAAAACCAAGCAGCGCAGATCAGGGGGTATCCCGTCGTGTATCTTTTTTGCTTTCCTTATTCAACAATGCCCAAGTCCGGTACTAAGATGAGGTTGGATAAGAGGGAAGAAATCTATGCGATGCAAAGCAAAGGAGGTCATAAACATAACGGCGTCACTATGTGCCGATTACTCGGGGATGGCTTCGTTGGATCCGGGGGCAGCGGCGCCCTCCTCCTTCTTGCCCCAGCCGGAGGCCCAGCCCATCCAGCTGGATCGCTTATTGTTCTCCTGCTTGGCCTCGTTGTTCTCCTGCACCAGGCGCAGAGGACGGGGCTTGTTGCCAGCAAAAGTGGTCTGCTTCTCGTGGTGAGACCGCGGAGGGGACTGCGAAGGAGGCGTACCAGTGAGGTCGTTGGAGTCGCCGCTGGTGCTCGAGGTCTCGCTGCGCATGCCCGGGAAGTTACCTGCTGTGGGTGCTTGCTGACCGCTGGGTGCCCGCGCGGCTGCATTGGGGTTGCCACCGAAGAAGGTCTGCGACGTTCGCGGAGTACGAGGGGAGCCGAGGGGCGGGGAAATAGGTCCATCCGGTCCCCGGTACATCTGGTTGACGAGGTTAACACCAGTGAACTGCTCGCTCATCGGGCGCGCACGGCGGGTGCTGGAGGAACGGGTCATATTCCCGATAGGAATGCGAGGCGCCGTCTCTGGGTCCGTATGTGCCGAGTTGGCTGGTTGGGCCGATGGCATGTAAGACATGGGCCTTTGTTTGGGCTTGTTCGGGCCGACAGCCATGGTCTTGGCTCGCTGCAATAGCGACGCTCCGGACGCGCCCTCCTTCGGCGGAGCGGGGAGATCTTTGTTGGTGTTTGCAGCCGGCTTGATCTCGGTGGAGGTATCCAAGATGTGCTCGAAATCTTGGTGCTGCAGAAGCCTTTCAATGATCTTGTTGATGTAAAGGGTCAATGCCTTGTTCTGGTCCTTCATGGACTTGAGCTCCGATTCGAGGCGGCGGGAATGCTCGTTGTCGTTACCACCGGCATCTGATGCATCCTCGGACAGCTCATCTGCCAAGCTTGCGCCTCCGGACCGGCCCTCCAGCGCATTGAGCGCATCCTGGTTGGCGGAAACACCCATGTAGCTGAAATCATTCTTAGAGAAATCACCATTGAGCGTCTTCTCCTGGAGAAGCAGTTGGTAGCTCTCGTTATCCTCCATGAGGCGGGCATTGGCCATGCGGGCTTCCATCAGCAGGCGTTCAACCTCCTGCAGTCTGCCGCCACCCTGGTTCTCAGACTCGACCAGCTTGATTTGGGCCTCGGCAAGTTCGAGCCGCAGTGATTCGATCAGCTTATCCTTCTGGAGCAAAAGCTTCGAGTTGTTTCGTGAATCGCTGCGGTTGAGGGACGAAGGAGGGGCGAAACTGCCGTTGTCAACGTTGGGAGATGTTGCTGCTGCTGAAGAATTGTTAGTTTCGGGCCTTCTGGCTTGACAGGGTCAAACTTGCATTGTCTTGAAGGACGGCCCTCCTCATCATTCCGCTGCGACAAGTTGTCCTTCAGTCTTTGGATGATGGTCTGCATCTCCTCCTCTCTGTTGGACATTTCTTCCTTCTCCTTGGTCATGGAGCTTCGCTCGGCCTCGTAGATTGCTTCCATCTCTCGCATCTTCTTGGCGGCATCTCTCTTCTCATTTTTCAGCGACTCAATCTGCTCTTCAGTTTCGTGCACCTTCTCCTCCAGCTTGGAAGACTCCTTGATTGCATCGTCTAATCTCGTCTGCAGCACTTCGACCTGTTTCCTGTACTGATCAGAGGAGATCTCGGCCTTGGAAAGGCGTTCCTTGAGGTCGTCCAATAGCGCAAGGGTTTCGGCTCTCGCAGCCTCCTCGGCCTCAGAACTACCGTTGCCATTGCTGTTGCTCAGGACAGAATCCCGCCTTGTTGCAGCTGCACGAGCGGAAACGGGAGTTCCTGAGCGAGCTGGTGCTCTGCGCGCAGCAGATGCAGCCGTGGGCGTGGAGGATCGCGTTGGCGTTCTCGCAGGAGAAGCAGAAGGGGTTGATGCAGAATCTGTCGAGGAAACGCGACCGACGCCCGCAGCGGGCGGTTTCTTTGCTGTAGCAGCGGACATGGTATCGCGGTGAGGATTTGTTGTGGCGATGATTGTTGTTGCAGTTCGCAGCGGAGGGTTACCTGGGGAAACGGAGGTAAGCGAGGAGACTCGTCGAGAAGGGGAGAAGGGAAAAATAAAAAAGAGTTGGCGGTCAAGGGCAGTGCGGAAAGTTATTTCTGTAGTGACGATGTTCCGTTCCAGAGAGAAGAGGCTATCTCACCAAATGTATGTAGTTGCTTATTCTTGGAACAGGTGACGCGGAACACACAACAGCGGGAAAGTTGTCGATCGTTGGGCTCCCCAGATATGCGAAAGGCAGATGATAGCCAAATAGGAGTGCGGTGCAGAACGGGAGGGTGTGCAGCAGCTTTGCAAGCTTAAGTCAGACGGTGTCAGCTCAGCAGGAAGTGCCTCTCAGACAATGGAAGTACTTTGTGTTCCCAAGTAGACACTTAGGTTGGGTTCCTCTCTTCTTTCGAGGGGAAAGTGCAGCGAGTGTCGGTGTCGGTGTCGGTTGTCCAGTCCACAGGTTGCAGTGAATTTCCGATATTTCGGGGCTGCTCCAGGGGGTCTAATTCGCTAGCCCGTGCAGGAAGGGGAAGACGTGGGCCAACCAGGAAACGAGGAATGGAACGGGAACAATGCTCTTCGCCCTTCCAACCCCGGCGCCACTAAACGTTTTCGCCGGGTTGCGTTGCTTGTTGCTTGAGCACCCTGCAGAGTACAGACTGCAAAAGAGACGGGAATGCCGTGGACGCACTAACTAAGTTTACCTGCGAACGCCTCTGAAGACTGACCGTCATCCAGCAAAGCCTATCCGTAGGTACCTGGGGATAGTCTGCGGGTAGGTCACCGTGGAACTCTCGAGTGGTTTGACACCTTCTTGACGGCGCAAATTAGTGTGGTAGGTCAGGCAACGGAAACCTTCTCTGGCGTGCTATTTTCGATGAATCCTTTCGCTCTTGTTCGGTCCCGTATTGTGTTGCGCTGAGCTGAGACTACACTCGTTGGGATGCGTCCGAGGTAACTCTCGTTTCAGTCCCGTCTCTTGGTCACCCGGTGCTCGAAGCTTGAGTAGATGGCGGGCGATGACGGCAGTGCCAGGCAGTGGCCAGCGCTGCGAATGTGGTGCTGCAGACGCCGTCTCGTCTTTGGTTGAGATGGGATGAATGATAACCTTCTTTGCTGTCTGGTTTCTTTCCGAGTTCTTGGGTCACTCGGGGAGCTGGCTTCTAGACGACCGGTATGAAATAGAGGAATACTAAACACGTTTATAGATCGATTCCAGTGATACCAGCCCATCGCGTTTTCGATAACAATAACACGTAGACCGCAAGAACCATCATGAACGAATAGGATCACAATGCTTTCTGGCTCTCGACTGAAACACCCTCGTTGGGTGTCCAGACAGCCAGGCATTGCCCTTGGTGAGTAGCTCTTGGTCACGTTCGCTTCACTTTAGCCTGTACTCCTGTCGTCTGCTGGTCGACTGTCAGGAGCACTGGTAGTCAGGTACCTGTCAGTAGTAGACAGCCACCAAGCTGTCTTAGCAAGCAAAGCACATGCAACGGATAAGGGTCTCACGCAACCTGCACCCCTATTCTCCCCGTGGTGAGCAGCTGGAAGGCGGAGCCCGTCGATGTTAGTGGGCTCGGCCCGTCTCTGTACCCAGGGATCCCATCGAGTCATTGGACGGCACTCTGCACGAGACCGGCCAGAACTGACCGTGGTGGGAACCTTGAAATTATTCTCATGTTGCCATCAATGCAAAACTTCTGACGGCCTTCCAGATTCAGGTTCAAGGCCCAGAAGCCCTGTCAGATCTCTAGCTAATTTCCTGACCATGAGCCGGTAAAATGGTCAGCATTGGGCTCGACAGACTCGACAACCAGATGCTGATTACCTTCCGAGCACAGGGATGGCGGGGTGGGTAGCCAACTTTATGATTAAAAAGTCCCTTGTGCCGAGGCCGGGTTGAAGTGTGATGTCGGAATAAACATTCACCTGCCAGCAATTAGGGATTATTCAGTATGTCAGTCATAGTCAGTTGCTGTCTCGCCTTTGGCTGCCATCTTGATTTTGGGGCTGGCATATAACAATGCACCTCGTCTTGTCAGATTCCAGCATGGCAAGGAGGTTCGTTGAGTTGTCACGCAATCCAGAAACACCGAATGACATCGTAAAGTGGCTGAGTAACAGGCGAGTCCTTTTTGATTCAAAGTGCCTATGATCTTTCATAAAGTCATGTCCTTGACAATCCCGAGGTATCATAGCGGCATATCCCAAACCGCGATCCCGAATTGCGGGATGCATTTTTTCTTTTCCTTCGACCATATTCCCCAACGCCGTTACCAGCCAGACCGGACTCAATCCACTTAAGCGACCTGGTCGCTGAGGATGTCGGAGTCACCGGCATCGATGATGGCCAAGGTACCACAGCGGAAGAGCTTTCCGACGGCAGTTCCCATCTCGATCTGAAGAGGGGTAGCAAGTTAGCTTTATTCACCCTCCAAAGCCTGAGAGACTTCTTCGCTGGGTTGACCAAGAGACTGGAGGTCTTCGAGATCGGTAGCAAGAGAAGGTCGGGAGCGAGGCAGTGCCAGCTCCCTTCTGTGCGAGAACAACTTACGTTGGTGCCACCGAAGTGGTGAACGGGGACCTTGCTCAACATGGCGTAGTACTCGAGCTCAGACTTGCGGAGAGGAGGAGTGTTGCCAGCAATGAGGACGAGCTTGGCCTTGCCGGTGCGGAGGGTCTTGAGGGTCTCCTTGTATCCCAGCACGATGCGACCAGACTTGACAACAAGAGCAAGCTTGCTACGGGAGGGTTAGACCATGACCAGAGCAAGACGTTTCGGATGCAAGTCAGCATACCTGTTGATGGAGTTCTGGTCCTTCTTCGCCTTCTTAACGGGAGCCATTGCGAATGATTTGTCGGGTGAATTGGCTGGGTGGTTAGGTCTGGTGGTCGCTGGGCGATGAGGCTGGTTGTCGTTCTCAAAGGGAAAAAAAGATCGCGGAGTTTTGGAGTTTATTTTTTCGATTTGTAAGCCCCACACGCCGGGGAGTCACTTCGGCAAGGCGCATCCAATCAACGCTGCGCATTCACCGCGCTCTTAACCCTAAAGTGGATCCCAGCATGGCCACCTGCTCATTCCGCTTTGCTGAGAAATCAATCGTATTGTCCTTGTCTGATCGCAATCGCCGCAACCTATTCAAAAGTGAGTGACGCCCAGGTTCTGGAGACGAATTCCAACCCACCAACTAACCAACACATAGCAGTAACGAGTGATCCCGTGAGATCTCAATACCGTCAAAATGGCCCGTCGTCCCGCTCGTTGCTACCGGTACTGCAAGAACAAGGTGAGCGACTCCTGTCAAACCCTGGACTCCCGCGAATTCCGACATCCCACGAAATCCCGCGCATCGAAAGAGGAGGATCGAAGTACTGCTTGGGAAGAGGCGACACATTGACGGAGAAGTCGGCAACAACTTTTTTCTGATTTTCGACGATCGGAATGACGCACTTGATGAAGTGGCATGGAGGGGATTATCGCAGGCTTGGGAGCAACATACAGACATCGGTCGTCATACTAACTGATCATTTCTTCAGCCGTACCCCAAGTCGCGCTTCAACCGCGGTGTCCCCGACCCCAAGATTCGCATCTTCGATCTTGGCCGCAAGAAGGCGACTGTCGATGACTTCCCTCTCTGCATCCACATGGTCTCCAACGAGTACGAGCAGCTGAGTTCCGAGGCTCTCGAGGCCGCTCGCATTTGCGCCAACAAGTACTTCGTCAAGACCGCCGGAAAGGAGTCTTTCCACCTTCGCGTCCGCGCCCACCCCTTCCACGTCGTCCGTATCAACAAGATGTTGTCTTGCGCCGGTGCCGATAGACTTCAGACTGGTATGCGTGGTGCCTGGGGTAAGCCCAACGGCACTGTCGCCCGTGTCAACATTGGCCAGATCATCATGTCCATCCGTACTCGTGACTCCAGTACGTTATACCCCCCTCTAGAAACCAACGACAAAACGATGTCACTAACACACCAAACAGACAAGGCTGTTGCCCTCGAGGCCCTCCGCCGCTCCCAGTACAAGTTCCCTGGTCGCCAGAAAATCATTATCTCCAAGAACTGGGGCTTCACCCCCCTTCGCCGCGAGGAGTACCTCGAGAAGAAGGCTGCTGGCCGCGTCAAGGTCGATGGTGCCTACGTTCAGTTCCTTGCCAACCACGGCTCCCTCGAGCAGAACATGAAGCGCTTCCCCGATGCTTTCGCCTCTGAGGCTTAAGTTAGTGGTTTCGGCTTTCTTCTGGGATTTGGGTTTCTACGGGCTGGCGTCTAAAGTGGTTGCATGTCAACATGATGAGAGTCATGCCGCGGCAGACTCTAGATAGGAATTCAATCATTGACACTTCACAACATCATGCCTCTATGCTACATGACGAATGGGAACGGGATTATCAACTGCGTACCAGCTTCATGAGTTGGGCTTTAGAAGACGCTTGATGATCGAGCCTAGCGGGAAATAAAAACAGATACCATCCATCATTTTGAGACCTGCAGATGAGCCAAGATACGTGAGGCTGAACCAAGGATGATGTCAACCTGAAATGGTAAGTTTCTAAAGTGACATGCCGTGCCAGACTCTTTAGAGCCCGTGGATCACCCGCAGCAGAGTGTGACACCACGAGGGCGGCGGGCACGGCCTCAGCTGGGCCACGCGGACGAACCCCTCCAACCATCATCTGCTCAGCTTCGCCTAGGATGTCTTGACACTGACAGGAGTCTCTGAGAGGGAACCACCATCTAATTTCACGGAAAAAAAATTAGTGGCGAGGTTTGATGCTGCATGGGATGGAGCCTTTGTGAGGCAAATAGTACGTAATTCATGCTGAGAAATGCACAGAAGAAACGAGAGGAAGGGAAAAAAAATCTTGTCCCTTTTCTCTCGGGGACCCGGAAAGTGACCGTGATCTCGTAAGCGCAACGGCTGAATCAGACACCGTGAGCTGAGAGTCTACGGACACAGGTCCTGAATACATCGTATGGACAAAGTACGCAAGAATAGCATCTTACTTGCGTAACGGCGGTCATGTATCGTAGTATTGGGAGCCAGTGCAGGAACAGCCCGCCAAACCGCCTGAACAGCAGCGCCCTGTCAGAGGTGCAGCAGCAGGTGTAAGCGCAGGGCGAGGGGATGGGTGCGCGCCAGTCAAAGGCCGACATCAGATCTGGGGGCGAAGGGCTGGTTGGTGGGAATGAGATTGGGGTGCAGACACCGACCAACGGTGAACCTGGAACAAGCAGGCGGTCGAGCCGACGGACTCAACTCTCTCAGTAGTAGGACTCAGGAGAGGGACGGTGTGGTGGTGCAGCGTGGGCGGCGATCAGGTCCCACCGAGATCCCAGGTGACCTAAATGACGTTATCGGGATTTCGGATGGTGCTCGGTGTAAGACTTCCTTGGAGGGACGTTGGGATAGGGAGGTAGGTACCGGTCCGCGAAGTTTGAAATGTCTTCCTAGGCTCTAGACTCTCCCGGGTTATTTGGTTGAGGAAACCGGAAAGTACCTTCGGGACCTTCTGACTCCTGAGGGTTTACGACTCGTGAGAGGTTCGAGAAACCTCCCCATCCCCAAGCTTGCTCCGAAAGTCGGCATGAAGGTCGCCAACTACCCGAAAATGAGCGAAAAGAGTCAGTTTTCAGAGCATCCAGAGTGGAATGGGTGACACATTGGACAAAATTTCTCTCCTTTCCCTTACCACTTCCGATGCTGAATGGGGCCCTAGCATATCAAAGTAGACTCGGAGCTGGGAGGGGCATTGATCTCGGTGATAAGCTGTTGGGCGGTTGTCTTCCATTTCGATGGGATTTCCTAGACTTCTGCGACTAGCAAAGAAGGCATCATGGCAAGCATGGATCTGCTTGTTGGTCGGGAACAGATAGCCACCAACGTGACACCAACCCCTCGGTGGCTTTACGTACGAGACAGATGCTATTCTACAGGAAGAACTGGCCAAGGAGAGAATGCTCCATAATTCGTAGTCTCCAGTTTGAAAGGTGTTCTTGGGATGATGTTGGCTCCATCTGCTGGGCGTATCTGCAACCGTCGTGCGAAGCTGGCGGTATGATTTCGACATGCTCCGAGAAATGACACCAACATAACCTGACCTCTCTCTCTATCCCGGCGTGCCCATATCCGCTCTAGAGGCGCCCTAACTTGCGTTTACCAGGGAAGAAAACAAAACAGAGTTCATAGCCCCCCTCCATTCGAGTGTTGCCGCCATGTCTCATCAATCATCATGTCCGCCGCTCAGGGCGCATCTGAACTATTGCATACGGGAAAGGTGTGGCAGACCCTCCACGTAGCCAGTAGACGGCGAGCCAGCCAGTCTCTAAGAGGGCCCTAACGCCATCAGCACCTCATCAGTCAAATCAGCCCAGCTCTCAAGTCTGTCCATGTATGAGGTGTGTGAGTCGGCTGTCACTTTTTGGGCGCTCAGGCATTCTGACACTCTGGGGGAAGCATGGTGGATGGACGTCGTGGTGATCTCTGACCTTCCCTTCAAGTAAACCACCTCAAATCAGGACGGAGGACAAAAAACCAGTAGTCCAAAGCTTGTACCTATTCCCCTCCTCAAAGCTTGCTGAGCGGTTGGAACCTGGGACTTGGGTACCTCTCCAATCCCCACCTTGCGTTTATTTCTTCTTCCTCTTCTCCTATCTGCTCAACCGACAACCGGAATGCCCCAGAGTCATGGATCAAAGTCAAAGGTTCCATGGAGTTGATGTGGTGGTTTTGTCCTTGGATCCCTTGCCCGCCGCACGCGAGCACATCATCCACCCCCATTTCACTCCGACCCTGCGCCATTCACCCGCCTGGCCCCCTTCCAGACTCCAGTAGGTAGCCGTAGTGTACACTTGTGGCTCCTCCAATCTGCCTTTACCTTGGGCTCTCTGTATGTCTCTGTGTCTCTCTGGCTTGAGATTGTAGTCTGAGAATACCGCGCCTGTCCCGCTGTCCCGCCGAGTACGCCCACTTCTTCGGGGTTACTCGTAACGGCGCGCGGTGTAAGGTACATGACCGAAATGGTAGGTATTGTGTACTGAGGTACTTGGCCCGCACCCGCCCTTTTTAGTCGGTGACGCCTTAATCAGTGACAGACCCATTCACCGTCATCCTGTGTGGTCCAGCAGGAGAGATCCACCCCTCACACCCCCCTTATCCTCTTCTTATCATCCATCCCGCTTTCTTGCTTCCTTCCTGTCCGCTGTTGGTTCCAGTAGACTGCTGCCACATATATGCTGTGTGTGGCCTGTATCCGACCACTTCTTGACCTCTTTCCTATTATGAATGCCTGATCGACCTCGACCTTGAAGTCCTTCTCTTCACCGACTTTGGGACGTTGTCAAACGACAAACATACAACACTTGAACTAAACACGCTATTAATACGGGGCGCCGTTATCGAGGCGTCACTGCGACACCGCGACTGGGGGGGCTTATCGTGATTGTTCGCCCATCCTTTATCGGACGAACACAACTCAACTACTTACATACCATTTCGGCTTGTGTTTGTGCCAGATCGACGACTTGGTAACATCACAAACACCATGGCTTTCCATCAACCTACCCGGCGGCCTTCGCAGCAGCGTGCTGCCCGCCCTGTGCAAGAGGAGGATCGCGACATTCCTCAACTCCACGTTCAAGACCCTGCTGCTACCGATGCCTCCCACTCGTGGGTACTCTTCGAACCGGCCGATGACACGACGACAGCTTCTTCCTACCTCAGCGAAGAGGAAGAGTCACTTCCCACACCGGGTCGATCAAGACTCAGTGACATAGGTAGCCTCAACACGTTCCTACACTCGGCCCGCGACACAGAGTCCCGGCAGTCGGGTGTCCTCTCAAGTGCCATCGATGAAGAATCAGTCGAGGACGATGCTGAGCTCGACAGCCTCGACAGCCATCTCCCCGAATTCAGGACGATCCCAAGCCTTTACACACATTCTGCTGGTGCTGCTGGGGCGCAAAGTGTCCCCGTACTCCCCACACATGATGGCCTGGGCTCGTTCAGGCTAGACAACCCAGAGGTCCAGGAGCAGCTCTATGCATTTGAGAGATTCAACCCCAGACATGTACGAAGGCGCCGCGAGAGTCTTGAGCTAGCCCAGCTTGAGATGGAAATAGAGGAGGAGCAAGAGACACACAAGATGCAGAGAATCGAAGCTTGGCGACTGGAGCAGAGTCGCATCTTATTAGAGGAAATTAGTAGGGAGACTAGACGGCGGCGGCAGTCCATGGTCTCAGTCAGGCCAACGGTGACGACAGAAGAGAAGAAGGCCGAGGATGTTGCAAGCTTGAGTGTCATCGGAAATGAAGACGATGCTGACAGCATGGACTGGCACTACGAGTCGACTGACACCCAGGACAATGAGCGGGGCCTGCTCGCCAGGATCACCCACAAGGTTCTCAACGACCTGGGCATCGACGAGAGGTTACTCTCAATCTTGCTCGGAGAACAACTGCCGTCAGACGATGACTTGTCAACAACTCCCAAGACAGGCGCAGATTTATCCAACCCACCCACTCAACAGTCCAATGACTCATCTTGGCAGCTGCGGGCGTTGGATCGTGTCGCAAAAGAGCTTGGCCTGATGGTCAATCAGCTTTCGCCGCATAATCATCCTGGTGCCTTCTCAACTTACACTCGCATGCAGCAAATGCCTATTCCTTACGCAGGCCTGCCAGCTATACCAGAGTCGAGCGCTGATACGGCAATGGCTCCCGTAGCACGAGAAGCATCGACCAAGATGCCTGAATTCCAGCCAACAATGGTTCAACACGCGCGCCCCATCAATATCCCCGCTACCCGGCCCCAGTTGGATCCTCCCGTCACTTTGACTAGGGATGAGTCAACCCCATTGCCTGCTACCTTTACCCAAGAGGAATGGGAGCAAGACTTGGACGTCAACCTCGTCTTCAGGTACTTGCGATCCCGCTTCAGCTCGCGGTCGACGCCTTCATCTACTTTCACAACCGGTACTTCCCATCTTGCCACTTCAAGCACGCCAGATACAGCAGCTAAGGCCGCGCGGGTGCGCCAGCATCACCCGCTCGTCTCCCGGGCCCGACAGGTAGAGCGGAGGACTTTCAAGGCGACGACACCATCTAGCCCCGCCGCTATAAGACACGCCTCCAGCTGTGCGAGTCAAAGTACGCGACGATCGGCGAGACGGAGCAGCGTTTCATCACGGCACTATTGGGATATCGGAGGTTCTATCGGAACGGGATCAGTCATCGCTTCGGTGGGCCCGATGGGCAGCTGGGGCGAAGTCTGAGTAGACGAGATCATCAGCAACAGCCGGGCAGAATCATTCGTCTTATTTCTACTCTCTGCGGCCGGCGGCTACCGGCCATGAACGGGCGTCTGTCTACAATAGATGTATTACTATTTGGGTCAGCGGGAGTTTTTGAGAACTGTCGCTTGTTTGACGGATATTGGGCACAGCATTAGCATATCACATCATGACGAGTAAGAAACTTAGAGTTGCTGAGCATCTACAGATCATATAAACATTATTGAGTTTGCGTAATTGAAACGTCTGGGCTATCCATCTCAAGTTGTTTACTTGCGTGATATCACTGGAGATCAAAGGACTTCGTTTTTCTGATGATACTCTCAGCGGATGATGCGTACACTGAGATATGGACCTATGATTGACGCTTGCCTCAAAGAGCGAGAAAGACGTACCGGCAAAGGAACGAACCAGTCTTCCGGAACTCTGGCCGGTGGACCGGCTAGGCGGCGGCATATGTGGATCCTTGGCCCCGAGCGGGACGGGTCGAGTGACACAATCAAACTTGGCAGCCAAGCCGGAGTACCAACCTACATACGTGCCTACCAGCCTAGTCCACTGTCCGCGGCAGATGGAAGATGAAAGAGAGTCTGCGACAAACCATTCGCGATTCACAAAACTTGTCTCGACTCCGCGAAACGAAGGATCGACAATGGACTATATCCCTCAAGGCTCGTCACATTCTCCACCTTTGACTAGTCAGCGATGCAGATGGGCGCCAGGCTGTGACTCCCATTTCCCAAAATCATGTTCACAGTTTCCTTTCCTGGGGCACACCTCCCCATGCAATAGGGAGAAAAGGGCTTACACTCAGTTTGCAGCCAACGACGCATGGCGAGGCTTGACTCTTGAGATTTGCACAACCTTGACAAACGTCGACCTGAATCTTTTGGATAAGGCTAGTGGGCGATTTTCCCACATGCTGCTTTTGCCTGAAAGCCAGTCATTTGATCAGGGCGCCTCGCGTACAGGGCGGGATCGCCGTGCGGGACCCCGGACGGACGCCTCACAGGTTTGCGAATGGATAGCATCATTGAGCGTCAGCCTAGCGTGGTCTTGTGTGCTTGGTCTGTTCTGCCCATCAAGCGACTAACACCAGGATCTGGAAATCCAGGGTACTGCTGTCTATCCCACGGTCCGTCTGTGTCGTTCACGTCCATCACGTCCATACGTTCTGTCTGCCTTTATCGAGTGCGCAATCAACTAGGTACGCGGGAAACGCATGCTTCGCTGCCTTCTTTGCTGTGCTTTGCCGCCGTCCCCGGACTCTGATCTGTGCTGAAATGTTTGGGAAAAGGAAGGGTTTACGGACAGTGTAGAGTCGATCCAACCGCGTCAAACCAACGATAATGGCTCGGATTCTGTCCTTCCATCTCTGGAATGGAACGGCCATCTTAATCGTTGCTTCTTTGACCCTGCCCCTCCACAATGGCATACCCCTTGCTCAATGCTCATCGTAGTCTCGCGCTTTTCTATAGTGGAGCACGTTGTTTGGAACTAAGAAGCAGGACTGGGGGCTGATCAGAAGGTCGCGGGAAGAGAAACGACTCCTGGTTAATGGTATTAAAAACTGTCACGAGTTATAGCACGCAGCAATGGGTATACGGAGTATAGTAAAAGTAGCTTAACTATTAAAGTAGAAATAGACAAAAGGAAAAGGTCTATATATATAATATCTAAGATAGATACGTAATTTAGTACGTAATAAGAACTTTATAAGGTGCGATTACTATCCCTATTACGTAATATACCCCCCAATTACTACTACTAAGGAGTTATTATACTTAAAATAGAATTTCTAAATACTCTTATAAAGGCCTATTTTAGTTAAATATAAATAAAAAAAAAATAAGTATAAGGGATACGCGTCTTTTAAACTACGTTTATTATAAATATATCCCTTTATCTAAAGTAAATAGAATCCTAACTTAGAATAGTACGTATTATACTATTTCTAGTATATAAATTACTAAGGGCGAGGCTACTTAGTTACTTTACGTATATTTAAATTTTCGTAGCGTTACCTAGCTATTATTTTTTTTCTTTTTTTTAACCTCTTATAATTACTATAAGTACCCCTATTTATTACGCGCGCGCGCCTATATTATTAAATCGTTTACTAATTTTATTTTAAATATAAATATTTAATATATCTAAAAATAATAATAAGTTTTATATAATTTTTATAATACTTCTTATATACGTATTATATAGTTTATTAAGAGTTTAAATAGGTAATAATATTAACGAGCCCCTCTAAGTCGTCTTCCCCCCCTACGACCTCTTATTTACTTACTAAGGCCTAGTTACTAAGCTCTCCCTCCTTAGTTAAGAAGATATTAAGACTACTATTTAAAATACTAAGGACTTTATTAAGTTCGAAGCTCTTTTTAATAATTATAATAAGGGTAATAATAAAGTAAATAGTAATAATAAGAGCTCTAACGGGCTTTTACTTATCCCCCCCTTAGAATTTAAAAATAAGGATAAGACTAGTTTAGATAATAAGCCCTTTAAAAAAGGTATATTATATACTTATTATTTTAAAAGTTCGTATTTAATATTATTTTAAGGTTTAAAAAACGTAAAACTAGCTCTTTTTAGAAGGGTAGTATAAGAGATTAGGCTATAAGTACTTAACTAGCGAGGTTATAATATAAGTATAGGTATATTATAAGACTAAAGCTTATAAAGTCCTTTATAAGGGCTCTACTTCTTAAAAAGTTCTTTTATAATACGAACCGTATACTAGTTACTAAGTTATTAACGTCTTATTACTAACTATATCCTAAATTTATTATAATTACTCCCCCCTTACGTAACTTTAGTCCTTAAAGTTATTATATAATATCTTTTTTTAATATTAATAATAAAGTTATTAACGTCGTTATTCGTAATAGATTCCGTAAAGTATTAATAATATCTTTTTTTATTTAGGAATAAAGTATTACTCCTATCTCCTTATTTAACGGATATTTTATTATTATTATTTAGTAATAGCGCGCTAACTAGTTATTAAGTTAGTAGTATATATTTATAATAAAGTATTTTAATTATTATAATATATAAGAGCCTACTTAGCCTCGCGGTTATTATTATTATTAAGCTATTAAGTATAGTAAAGGATTTTCTTTCCGTTACTAGTTACGTATTTATTTTTTCTTAAGAATTGCGCTGGGCTAGATAAAAAGGGTTTTATAAAGTGTTATTAATTAACTTGTTTTTAGTAACTTTTTACTGCGAACTTAATATTTATTATCCTATTTTATATATACCCTTTTTTTATAACGTTCGAATTTTTTAACTATTTTTACTACCCTTTTAAAATACTTAATAAGCTCTTACGTATTATACTTAGTAAGCTACCTAGCCTATTTAATAAGATATTATAAGTTTCCTTTCTCGCCTTATATTATAACGATTTTTTTAATTTTTTAAACGTCTTACTCGTTTTCTAACTCCGGGAGATTTGCTATTTAGTTACTAACTATTTAGTAATTTCTCTATAGTTTAAGCTAGGAAACTAAGAAAATATTATATATTTTTTAATATTACTTTAGTAGATATATTTAATAAGCCTATTTTCTTACTTTTTTAGTTATTACTACTTTAATATATTTTAGCGCTAGTTTATTATTTTTAAATCGTATATTTTTTATTAATAGGCCGACGACCTCTCTATAATTAAACTCTTTTAGGGTATATTTTTTATTATAATAAGCTACTTAGCTCTTAGAGGCTTATGCTTATACTTACGTAGCCTGGGCCCTAATCTCTTTAATTTTCTAAACCCTTTTTTAAACCCCCTAGACTATGGCCTTATAATTAAGTATATATTTAATATACTTAGGGTAATAGCTATATAGTACTATGTACGGGGATACTTTTATAATAGAGTATTAGCTATTATTATATATAAATTCGGCTTTTTTTAACTACGCTATTTACTTATTTAGTAAGCTTTTAGTATAGATTTTTAAATACTTTTTTAATATTTAATAAGTCCGTTCTATTTAGCCGTCCGTCTATAAGTAATATATAGTAAATAGTTAGTAACGTATTACCCGTTCTTTAGTAAACTTTTTTTAAAATGCGCTTATAAAGAGCTTATTTCTATCTATAATAATACTTTTTAGCGTACTAAACTTATATTCGACCTCTTAGTATAAAATACTTATTATTTATACTACGTTAAGTATTTTAATAGTAAGTAGGAACTTCGCGAACTTTATTATATAATAAATAATAATTAAAATATTATTATACTTTATACTATTATTACGAGCACTCGGTAATAGCCCCGTAATAAAGTTTATAAATATTTTTTAAAATAGATATAAGAGTAATAATAATAACTATAGCTACCCGTACGGCTTATATCTTAAGGTTATAATTCCTAAATAATATTTATAGTTCTTAACGTATTCCTAGATATCTCGTTAAATATTTTCTTAATAGAACTTCTTTTAGATTAACTCGAGAGTTTTCGTAGTTCCTATATAACTTACCCTATAATTATCGTAATATTAATAAAGGATTTTTATTTAAAAAGACTTTACTTAAAGAATAACGAGTCTTTTTTTAAAAAATAGTATACCCTATTTATTAAGCGAATATATTTTTAGCTCGCTAGTTATAGTATAAACTCTTATTAATTATAATATATAGAACTCGTTTTTAGCTTATAGTCCTCTAACGAGCTCTTTAGTTTTTAATAAAAAATAAGAAGCGAATACTATTTTACTCTTTATAAGCTCTTTTATAATAGGACGTAGGATATATTATTTTAGTATAATAACCCTAGCTCTATCTAATTCCTTTTTATTTTTATAAAACTATTAACGAGCGTTTATTAATAATTCTCTTATTTTTTTATTTTAAGTCGTTATAGTAGTAACTATTATTATTTTATTAGTGCGCCCTATAATACGTTATTAATATAGGGGAGAGGGTTTTTTATTTTTAGAGCTAGCTAATATTTA